TTGTCTCTGCCCAGTGCCACATTCATTCAGGGTATTCAATTCAGTCATATCAGCCATTTTTCCAAAGTGGATGTGACATTCAATTTGCATCTGCTTGTCATGATTTTGATCATTGAAATTTGAACCTGAAGATTTACAATTGGATGGGTTATGATTTATAGTGTCTTCACTTGATCATAGAAGAGTCAGTCACTTTTCCAGCTAGCTAATGCGTATTTATGCACCTTCCAGTGTGACACTTCTATTAAAGCACATGGTGTTCATATACTTTGAACCATGAACTCCATTTGAGCAGTTGGTCTCTCTTATTACTGCAATATAAAAATCACATGTTATTAGGAATAAAAATGTTTACTCATACACCGTGCCAGGAAGGACATAGGTTTCTATTGACACATAACAACCACAACTGAGAACCAACTTGGGTGTAGGAGAGACTTCAATATACCTATGAAAGTGGCAGAATAGAGAAGCCATGGGTGGCTGAGATGAGACGATGTCATCCTGACTGTAGGCACGTTGGGAGATAATGAGATATATTACCACATTAGTTCCTACCTGCATTCTCAGTTGACCTGCCTGAGTACAAACATGGCTTTAGAAACCTGACTTGATTGGTGTCTGTTTGTAATATTTCCATTAGTCTTTGTTGTTTGTTTTCTTTGTTGCTTTCAGGTCCCTAAGGGCCATCTGACAGAGATATCAGCCTCAGATCAGCTGGAACAGTTACGAAGGTGCATATTGTAAACTTATAGTCTCTTAGCCGTTGCTCTTGTATAGAATAACAGAAAAAAAATTCAAAAAAAGTTTTAAACATTCACTGTGCTGTTGAAACTGCAAATGATAAGCTGCATGATTCAATGTAAAACACTTCCTGCTTACTGATGTGGAAAATGGGAAATTCGACACAGAGCCTCTTACAAGCTAAGTTGAACATTCTGCAAATTTTGGCTATCTACACCAATAATATACATAAAATGAACATTCACAAATACCTCAGACAGTCTACCTATTCAACAACATGCAACTTGACCGTGTATTAACATTTGATAATGCCTATTGAGAAGTGATAATGCCCGCACGTTTCAGACTGGCCCAGCACATATTTATTGCCTTATTCCATGAGTGCAGTGGTCAGATTAATTTTATGGGGTGACAGGTTGAATGTTTGGCATAAAATGTTCAGCCTGTCGACAAATGAAATTGTACTTTCTGTTTCAAGAATTTGAAATGTACAATGCCTGAATAAATCCTTTGTTAACTGTCGCCATTTTGTTTTGTCACTTGGACATCAAGGTACAACAAAGTTTTCATGTTCTGATTCAGTTTATGCTAGAACAGATATTCCTGTATATCATTGTTTCATTTCTGTCTGTATTACCTGTGATTTGTATGTATGTGCGAAAAGCCGCGACTTTGTGTACATACCTACTGCATAGGTGCAGTACACTGGTATATCAAACGGTGTATTCAGTGGTTTACCATTGATTACACTGAATAATTCATGGCATATGATTGACAACTGTCTAATCAGATGATGGGGGTCTTATTCAGGTGTTATGGAGTAGGCAGTATGAGAAGGGTCTGTGGGTAGGTACAGGTGCTCCATAAAATAAATGATCGGTGTTGTATTTGTGTCCATCACAAGACCTTTCACAAGTTCAGTCACAAGTAACAGGGTGAACAATGACAAAGGAATGCTTTTTTTGCAGCTTATTTGAATAGCTTGTGAATTGGCTTATGAATGAATGACTTGTGATGGACTTGTAGGGACTTAAGATGGACTGGAATACAACTTTGTAAATGATAACAGTCATTACTGTTGAGGTGTTACCTGTCATTGGTTATATTTACGTAGACAGCAGGAAGACTACATCAGTCTGAGCTTCGCTACAATCTCCAGCATAGGGGCTCATGGAGCCATTATTCATTACCAAGCCAGCCCTGAAACGGATGCGCCCCTCAGCACCCAGGAGATCTATCTGTGTGACTCGGGAGGGCAGTTCAAGTAGGTTCCCATGGAATGTTTCTCCTCCAAAAATCTGGCTCCACAGAGTGGGAGCTCAGTTCCAAAGAGTACATCTTGTGATTTTGAACCCACTAGATAGAGCCACAAAAGATTGTAATAATGATATGCTTTCAGAGCACTCATATTGTTGCCCTCTGGAATGGTAAGAAGGTTATTTTAGTGTGTAAGCAAGACAGTTGTCTTGTGAGCAACTCAACTTTTCAACTCAAAACTTTGCGTTCAGAATTAGCAATTAAGTGGTAGATATTACCCAAAATTCACCCTGTCTTAGTGGAATGAGGAAGAACTCCTCGTACTAAATTAGAAAAAGGTGAACCTTGCTATTTTTACACCTGCTCTTGGGCTGCTAGGCCCTGCGTGTGCTCTTACATAATTGTAATGTCCCATTGGGGTTAAGGGGGGGACATTTACATGTTTAAACAAAAAAAGTTCTAAACCCTTGTACAGATTTTCCCAAACATTTAAACGGAACTGCCCCTTTTAGAGGTTTGACGTTTCAATGGACAGAATCTGGCATTCATTTTTATAGTAAATGATGCCTCTACACAAATGTAATGTGATTTTCAGAACACATTACTGCTCGGACATATCTAAGGAATACCATGAATTCATCAAGGGAACTTTGTATCAACTGCTTACATTGTATGAACTGTACAATTATGCATATTTGAAAGCACCAAGGAAGGCGGCAGCGACTCCTGTAAAGTGTTAATAACGTATAAATGTTTAAATGCTATGGGAAAGTTTTCTGAACTTTTTTCAACTTAAACGTAAATTCCCACCCTTAATATGGGTGACACACCAGATATGTAAACAGGTTTGTGTTTGTATGACATGGAGCAAAAGTAAGAAATTTTCGTCGGAATGTAAGGCCATGATGTTGGCATTGGGCACCCAATTTCAAAAGGTCTGCCATCAGCCCGTCTTCTCTTTACTGATTACCATGAGGGGTATAAAGCTCATATATAATCAATCCAAGATGGCCTACACAGCTTGATTTTGGTGTGGTAGTTCGGGACTGTGGAGGCCATAGCCGTATGTACATCTAACATAGGGAAATAGGAATTTGACTGTGCTGCCCTGATTTTAGAACCACAACCTGGGAAGCGATGTTTTCTTCATGGTGGGGCTGCTGCTGCTGCTGCTGCTGCTGCTGCAGTGTAGAATGATGAGACATTGGGAACAAATAAAAAATTTCATCATGTTAACACTCCTGACATAAACAGCCATATTCCTTTTTCTCAACTTTTATATCAGGGATGGTACAACAGATGTGACAAGGGCCATGCATCTTGGCACGCCAACACCATACCAAAAGGTAACAGAAAGGAACTTTTTTAGTTGGTTTGTTATTTAGTGAAAGAATGTCTTGGCTCACAGTTCTTGTGTTCTGTTTATCTGGATGGTCATGCTGCTTCCAAACCTGTCAACTTTTATGTAGCCTACCAGGGGCTGATTTCACGAAACTCATCTTATCTTGCAACTTATCTTTAGGGTTCCAAGATCGATTTGACCAAACCCATCTTAAGAAAGATTGGTCGTAACTAGAAATTTGGTGGCTGTTTCATGTTTCATTGTACTCTTTCACAAAAACAGTTGTTGAAAATAAAGGGAAAGCCAAAATACGAACGTGTTGAAAAACAGTTGACTCATGTATGCTTCCAATCAGTTTGATAATTCCATTTTAAAAGGACGAAGGTTTTCCCGTACTGTAATATTTTTTAGCAGTTTGCTTTAATTAAAACTGCCTAATTGTAAACAATGACACTTTTCAAGTCTGTTTCTGCAGCTAGTTTTCATCCAACAAAACTGTCACATTTATAGCTCTAGGACAATACTTGTCTTTCATTTCAACGATTACTGCATGCATTTATGAGATAAGACGACCCTCAGACCAATCTTAAGTTAGGAAGAGTTTTCGACAAAGTTAGGACTTGTTGAACTTGTGTCTTCAAGTTTAGTGAAATTGATCCTAAGACGAGTTGTAAGATAAGACAAGTTACCCTTCTTAAGACATATCTAAGCGTTTCATGAAATCAGCCACTGCTGCAGGTTGGAAAAACAGTATATACAAAGGCTGGCACAAGCCGGGTGTTGATGCGAATACAAATGTGATTTTGGAACTTCACAGCAATTATTCAGGCAGCATAGTCATAGGAGTTATGGCATTTATAGGGTTCACCGTGAACACATTGTGTTAATGTATCCGACCTGCCGAGAATTAAATGACCTTTCTCTTGTTTAGCCTGTAGGAAGAGCAACATTCTGTCTGTATAAAAAGTGGGTCCTCATGAATGTCTCTTGAGATTTGAACCACAAATGCATAGAATGCATAGTGACCAAGGTGTAGAAGAGGGTAGTAAGGATGATGCAAGGTCTGACAGTCTGTGGCTATAGTGCTTCTCTTGTTAGATGAGATTGACTTTGACTCACCTCATCTCACTACATTCAAAGCATTCAGTGAAACCTATGCAAGATCTTATCCAAAGCACACGTGCTTCATATATCTGTGATGGTCCACTTCTCTTTTTTAACAGGAATGTTTCACCAGAGTACTCAAAGGTGTCATATCTGTGGCCACTGCTGTCTTTCCCTGTGGGACAACAGGTGCGCAGTAATTTGTAGAAATACTGAAACAAATTTAATGAAAAATTTGTTGTGTCGCTTCCAAGCTCATTTTTATTTGTAATTTGTGAACAAAAATATTTTTTATCAGAACATGTAAGTGGAAATCAAAGGTATGCCAGTACCTTTTATTTTCACTTTCTTTTTTGGGGAGGGGGAAATCTGTTTTGGTTTACTAATTATAAATGGTTAATGGTTGCTAACTGAATGGCAAACTTTTAAATTTGTGGCAAATGCCCAGTCCCTTTAAATGGTTGTTTGCATTTTGGGGAATACGAAAAAAGGATTCCAGTTGATCATGGCCACTGTGTGATTAAGAAATTTTGAAAAATCATGAATGCATTTTGAATACAGTGTTCAAGGGTGTAGATTGTTCAAGTTACATTGATCTTGGTAATGGACCATTTACTAATTAAAATTCAGAAATGCCACTAAAGCTGGTTAGTCACAGCATTCTGGTGCCGGTACAGAACCCTGATGGAAGAATTGCAACTGATCTTGACTCATTTATTCTTTACCTACTAGGCAGTATGATAGACTCCTTTGCTCGGCGTTCCCTGTGGGAAGCTGGCCTGGACTACCTCCACGGTACCGGCCATGGGGTGGGGGCTTTCCTGAATGTTCATGAAGGCCCCCAGCAAATCAGCTGTAAGGTGACTGCCTTTGATGCAGCCCTTGAAGCTGGAGTCTTCATGTCAGATGGTGAGGAGAATGACTGTGGGAATGGGCCTTAGTGGGGGGGTTAGAGGAGGATGTGTCTCATGGATAGGACAGTTGGGTTACTTGCTAGGTTACTACATTAGTGTTTGACATTATGTTGAGGTAACGTTGTTAATGCGATATATTTAGGCCATCACAAGACCATGAGGAAACCTGTATCCTGTCTGAATTCAAGTGACAGGCTATTCAAATGAGCTGTAACAAAAGCATTACTTTGTTATTGTTCGCCCTGTTGCTTGTGACTAGTCTTATTTTTGGTCTTATGAATGATGTGGTGTTGTAACGGTTTTGACTACACCATTGCATTAAGGTTGATGTTACGGTAAAAAGGGAAACTGACTTTGGCTGGTAACATGCTTTTTCATCTGAGCTATGGACCCATATTTTGGCTGTAGTATTTATTGAATATTGATAGTTATTGAGCCCTAAATTTCAGGTTTGCTGCATTGTGTAATTGAACCTGTAGATACTTTGTGAGGTTCTCGGCTCAAATACCACTCCATTAAATATCTGAGTATTTAACCTTGTTGTCAAAAGATTGTTAATTCCAAAGTGTTTTAAGCTTTAATGCCCTCATTCAAGCTTACCCTTCTGCTGTGCCAATTCTTTAGCATGTTTTCTCTGACTGAGATGCAGCAAATGAGTAATAGTCCAAGGACAACAATTTTGAACAGAAAAAAGTGAACAGTTTTGTTCATTTTGCTAAAGTAATCATGCTTTGCAGCCTATTTGGAGTCTTACCTGTTTCCAATTCCCCCAAATTAATACTGTCTGTCAATGCTTTACCGTCATGAGTCATGTTCACTCATGTTTGCACTTTCACTGAATATTTTCAGACCACTGACTAAGCAGCTTTATGTACAGTGCTGGTCTAGATGTTGAATCATTAAAAGTCTGCTACAGACATTTCTCTGTTAGCGCATCCCCCCTAAAAAAAATAAGTTTGAAAAAATATTTTCCCAAATTTATCACATGAAAAGTGCTTTCTTTTGAACATGTGACTTGCATCAATTTTTTTCTTGATTTTCCCTTTAGCAAGCAAGTAGTATGTTCTCTCACTGGTGGGAGTTTTTAGCCACAATGCTCATGTTTATAAAGCAAAAGTGATTATGGCCTGAAATTGCCTTTCTGCTCCATGTTGGAATGAGAGGTGTATTTTTACATAGTATCAGTGTTCTTATGGTGGGAAAAGATTGCCTGTGTACAGGATCATGCCTTAATGGTGCAGGCCATGCTGGGCATGTGTGGCCAGTTTTTGGTGGGGTGCAGTCTTCGCATCTGTGCCATGTGCAAAGTTGAAATGGACAAATGGCCCGTACAATCCTTTCTCCTTTGCCGTATATTGGTACTTCTACAAAGAGTAGTGTTGACACTGAGACCTTGCAAGACCGCACAAGGCCAACACAAGGCGCCCAGTCTGAATTTAAGTCACAAGCTATTATAATGTACTGTAACAAAAGCATTCCTTTGTCACACTGTTACTTGTGACTGGTCTTGTGATGGCAACAACTGACAAAGAATGAATGGGGCAGAAACTAGTACTTTACTTGGGAGGCATAAACGGAAATCCTCATGTAAGTGTTTCAAGAGAGGGAGATTATAATGACAAGGTTAACTGCCTTTCTTTGTGCAGAACCTGGATATTATGAGGATGGAGAATTTGGCATACGAATTGAAAACATCGTACTCATCAAACCAGTTGAAACAAAGGTAGAACAAATTGTTTGATTCCTTTTCAAATTAAGTAAAATCAAGTGCTACTAAAGCAAAGGAGATTACATATATCCTCTGAAAGTGATATTACTTGTACCCTTCTGACCCATGGCCATGGGACAGGAGGGGTGTCATTACAACATCTATCTCTTCTCTTATTTACCACTGCTGCAAATCCTTCAAACTTTGTTGTTATTTCTTTAAAGTACAATTTCAGAAATACTGGTTTCCTGACGTTTGAGACAGTGACCCTTGTGCCAATACAGACCAAGATGATTGAGCCCTCTTTGCTCTCAGAGGCAGAGGTAAATTGTTTTCTTTTTGTCAGTAATACTGCAAGAGAAAATGTCATTATTTCTGTAGGAAACCAACTAATGGCTTTGTGCACATCGTGACTCCCTGAAAATAGGAAAGCAGAATTTAAATAGGATTTCTTGGGCCCTTATGCTCCATTTTCTGTTGGACGTTTTTTGCCAGGTTGTTACATGTATATGCATTTTGCCCACAGAAATTTGCATATCACTAAAATGGTATTTGTGAGCAAGGTTAGATTTTTGCCTGCATGATCTCACTCACAGCACACCAGGCAGTACAACGCCATCTATAGTTTGTTAATAGATGTCTTTGTGCCTTCATCTGTTTGCTTAAGAAGCAACAACCACCCTGTGAAGAGTGAGGGTTTGCTGGCAGTCACTTTTGTCTAGTGCTCCCAACTACTGTCTGCTCTGTGCAGGATCAATATAGATTGTTTGTACATAGCATTAATGCTCAGTTGGTTGGGACCATGAGACTAAGCACATACAGGTTTGTGTACATGTGCCCTAGGGCAGGCTGAGCACTCTCAGTCTTTATCAGATTGTGTGATTGAGGAATGTGTGCCAGGTATCCAGTCAAAATGATTCCCAGCAACCACTCCTGTATACCATTGATGAGGGGATACTCCCAGGCAGAGTGGATTCTGGGTAGTTTTTCTGGATGAATTGGTAAAGGGGTTTACCCACACAAAACAGTTGTTGATGGTGGAGGGTCCAAAGGCATCATTATGAGACAAAACAATAGTTCTTGACAATTGTTTTTGTTCTGGTTGATTTTTTTCTGTTTTTCTGAAACCTGGTTGTACCAAAGTCTGCCCAGTTTGCTGTTAGTTTTGAGAGCTATGGGTCAGGTAGTCTGGGCTGTTTTTTTATCTTAACAACTTTACACCGGAGGATTATGTGTAAATGTGATCTGGATTTCTACTTACAGGCACAGCTGACAAGTGAAAATATCAAGCGTGCCCTCACCCCTGGCTGACATTTAAAAATGCTAGTCCCCCATTTGTCATGCACACAAACACAAAACCTGAGTGAGAAGTTTATGGAGGTGGACCATATGTGATCAGCTCCACCAAAATGGGTATTATGGGACTTTTTTTTTCAAAATGAGTTACATACACATTTGAATTGGTTACATTATAAGGTTTAATTTGGTGAAGGTTTGAACCCTGTGGCATTTTGCAATCTGGAGATATACATGAATTGATTTTCGCATAATCGTATCGTATACATTTTCCAAACTAATTTCAGATATAAAGCCCTTTAAACACAGGAAGTGGAAAAAGAAATCAGCCAAGAAGAGAGTTTCTTGATTCCCGTAGCAACAGTTAGGTTTCTTGTATGAATTGTGGAAGTACTGATATAATAGAAGCCAATAAACCAAGAAGGAAAAAATCACCCAGTCCACATAAAAAAGCCCTTTGTGTGAAATAGCACAGCGTCCCTTAATACCCTTTTTTTGCAGAGCGGGTCACATATGCTGAACTTGGTTGCATGGCCTCTTGTGGTAGCAAATACCACTCCATTGCCACGCACTCTGCCATGTTGCAAAGTATGAGGTTGCAATAAGTAATATCCTACAAATACTATTCAATTGACTCTTGAAGTTCCGCATTTGTGGCATTTGGCTGTATGTCAAAAGTTGAAAATTTTGGGCCAAAGAAAGTCTGTCTGCAAGTGATAAATGTTTCTTTTTTCTTATGCTTGTTGGCGACCGTCTCTTATCGTCTTGTTAGATATCCTGGCTAAATGACTACCATGCCAAGTGTCGTGATATCGTTGGTGCTGAACTGGAGAGACAAGGCCGTTTGGATGCCCTAGCGTGGCTGCACAGAGAAACACAGCCCCTGGGATGAGCTATTTCACAACCCCTAAACTAATCCCACCAAGAAATACACTCTACTGAATAGGACAAGAAATACACTGACAATTTTAGGGAAGTTTTGCTGTCAGGTCCAGGATGTATTTTTGGCATGTTTTTATCTCTGGAAGATATTACACATTTTAAACCTTGAATTACCTGAACAGTTCATATCTTCAAAGTGGAATTTTTGAAACTGACGAGAATTCCAAACCAACTAAAATGTAATCTGCCATGTATTCTCCATCATCGTTTTTATTGTCCATGTATTGTCCATAACCATTTACCACTTAAGTCTCTTGTTAACCACTTCCTGCTGGGGATACTGGATCCGGAAACATATGCTTTATATGCGTGGCTGAGGTCTCCGAACTCGGACAAAGGAAACAGGGCCCTGTAACCGTACTCCGAACAAAAGACCAGTCTGCTAGGAATTACTGGCATTTTTTTCACTCTCATAAGTGGAGATAAACCTGCCTTGTTTTGAAACAGTATACCACAGTTTGGGGCATTTGGAGCGAGCGGATTACCACCGGGGACAAAAGCACTCCACTGCTGCAGTGATGAGCCACACAGCATCGCTGCATGCTAATCTGGCCCCTATTGAAAAGAGGTCAGCAGCAGCAGCAGCAGCAGCAGCAGTGCACTGAGCCAGGTTCGTGAACAAGAGACTATTACGTAACACCACAAAATCTGGGCTCTTTTTACAAGGCTGCAGGCCTGGCTGAAATACTCAGGCGTCAATAGATTTTGTATGTCAGGTTAGAGTGGCACCAGACATGCCTTCATGTGTTTGTGTCTAGTAAAAGAAGATACGAATTTTTAAAGAATTTTGGAAACGGAAAAAAAATGATAACTATCCTGCCCCAGCATCATCAACATTGAATGATTCCCGACAGGAAGTGGTTAAAATAACATAGGCCATTTTCACTGTCTTTTGCCATAAAATGAAGCGTCCAGAATTTTAAGTTGATTTAAATGCTGTAGCTTTAAACATATTGAGTGTAGTGTAAGGCTTTTGATATGCTATTTGCTTGCAAATTTTAAGAACAGAAACATTGATGTGCCTTCATGATGCAGTTCCTGTCCTTTTTGAAGGGTTTGTTGGGCTTGGGAATGACAGACAGTTGGGCTCTCGGGAGAGAACAAGTGTACATGTATGTGAAGCTGGGCCAGTGACAAATGTGCAAAGTTGGGTACAGATGAAAAATGTAATGTTAATCAAGAGGTTATTAAATATCAAAATGGTGGCTTGCCGGCGAAAGCAACATGTGGAGAGAATGTCTGGTATAATGTTCAACCATTTTGTGTAGGTATCCATAAATAGAAATCTGAAAGTTGGGAAGATGCAGGGATGAAAGTTTTCAGGCAAAAGCTTGATATCAGGTGTTTTCTTGTAAAATGTATGGCTAATTTCAGGCTTTAACTATGTATACTGGAACTTCTCTGGCCTTACATTCAGGCTCTGGATAAGAGCCTAATTGGCATCCCTGAAGATGTAATGTTTTCATTCCAGCCGAGACTTGAACTTGAGGCTTGTTCTGTTGGAAGTGCAACATATAAATGTGATGGGATTGAAGATGTACATGAATTAGCCATCACTTCCTTCTACACAGACAGAATGTGCCCTTCAAGAACAATGGAAATTCAAAACTTTTGTTCAGATATTCTGAACTTTTTTCACTGTTGCTCAGCTTGGAAGCCTTTATTTTAATCTCACTATTGGTAATGAACAGAAGGTAGATTTTTGCATTTTGCAGATAAGCTTTAACTGTGCTCGAGCCCATGACTGTTATCAGTACATTTCTTGATGAGTGTCCTGGATGTGGCTTTTTTTTTACTGTTTTACTGGTATGTTATTCCAACTTTTTATGGGTATCTAGATCAGCAATCCTAAAGACATAAATGTGCATTCATCAGAGTCTTCATCAGCAATCCTAAAGACATAAATGTGCATTCATCAGAGTCTTATAGTCAGGCCAGACTTATCAGACTTTGAGAAACCCCTTGCTTTCTTTAACTTGCAATTTAGCATTATGTATGGTTAACTGAATACAAGTTCACAACATTATGGGGGGTTCATATCATGAGTTTCTCGATATTTTCAGTATGTTAATGATAATGCTTTTGCTTACGTAGCTATATTATTCTTTCCAGCGAAGCCCAGCGGCAGATAGTGTGGCTGCTAATATTTCAGCCAGCTGGAATCCCAGAAAATGTGCACTCTCTATTTCACTTGTGTTACAAACATTCCCAACTGAATATATTCTTCATGAAGGGGACAGTGTATTTTTCAACACCCAGTCAATTGTATTAAATACCGCATACACTTTTACAGTGCACATACAGTGATACAGACTTATATATTTTCCAATCTGGAACTCTATAGGGAAAATCATTAGAGGGAATATAATTTTGTTAAGATCATTTAGTTCATTGAACAAACGACATGACATTACTTTCAAGACTAGTAAACCCACTTTGTAGTATTTCAAAGAATATCTGTATGGCTGAACTAAAAGGCCTTTCCCACAGGATTAGCCTCATATCCAAAGACATCCCAACTCTGACAAGTTCCAATTTTACCCTGTCCCACTACAATAAACTAAACTACGCAGCTTTTCTATCCAAATCTAACCACATCCAAAATCTTAAGATGGCCCCCATTTCATACTCCGCCCAATTCCTCCAATTTTGCAAGAATGTGCTACTTATTGTATGTTCCTGAAAAAGTTGTGGAAATGGCAAGAAATTCTGGACTTAGAATTTTGTTTCTTTGAATGCCAATGTTTAGAGGGGATCTCTAAACAATAAAAAACCCACAGCAATACAATCCTACAACTGCTGCGTACAATGTTTGTACTGTCTATTGTATACAATTAACTGGAAATCTACAGATGATAACATAAATATGAATTTTCAATTTTCATAGTGAAACAAATCGTGTAATGACATTTCACATAATGAAATAAAGATTCTTAAAATCAGTTGCAGTGCATTATTGTTTGCTTTATAAATCAGGTATCTTTACAATTTCAGTTTGCTAATGGCTAGGGAACTGACTGGTTAAGTTCAAGTTCTCTGTCCCAGCATTTGAAAAGAAAATTTAAAAAGCCATTTTAAAATCTGAAGTTCAGAAACATCTCTCTGCTGGTGACAAGCATGAAGATTTCCTGAACTGTGAACTTGCATCCAAGGCTGCTTTGAGTAATAGCTGCTACCACAGTTACTATGGTGTCTCACACATGACCAGTGACTGCCTTTTGTCCATGAGGACTTTGAAGCACTAAGAAAGGTCACTGTAGCAGTACACATTAGGGAATGATCTGAATTTTGGATTCATTACTCGTCAGATATAGTTACCTTACTTCTGTTTAAAAATGTATTTGGCTTCAAAACTTGGCATAACATCTTAATACTGTCACAAAAGCTATACCAGTCACTTCATAGCTCTAAAACCCCACTTGCCCACAACTGGTCATGACCTCTGACCTGTCATACATGCTGTCAACATCAAAGCCTGAAATATTCCATACTATGGTTGACTTTTTCATGCATCCTGGTAGGAATGCTCAGAGTCGGTGAGGTGCATGAAGACATGTCCATACACTTTCATATTGTTATGAAGCTAAAACTAAACTGAATAGATTTCATTCAAGTCTGGACCCCCAAAAATTGCTTCTGGTATTACCAGGCAATTTGAGTGATCTCAGCAATGATCAACAATGATTACATGAAACACAGAATGTCTGCATACTCATCAAAATGCTAAATACTGCATACATAATATAGCATGGGCTTGAATATCAATTACCTCTTGGTCATTTTTTTTTTTGCAGTATAATACAACGGAATATACATATATCACTTGAAACCAGAATTGAAATTCATCACAATGTTAGTAGAAAATAATACAAAGTAAACAATGTGTAATCTGACATTCAATACCTTTCACTTACAGTGCCACTGTACTTCAGAATCATTCATCTTTGTTCTATTGCAAGCATTTTTGTAATTTATTGTTTCCATACACAGCTCACTTGGCCCAACCTTTGTTATTTGATGCCAGTAAGTCTCACAAAGCAGTCACAGCTGCCCACCTGGAGCTATGTGGACAGATGTCACAGCAATTAACCTTGCCAAGGGAAAAGGGCAAAGCAATCCCTGCAGCAAGCTTCTAACCCAGACTTCCAATTACAGACAGATGCTGCGTCTGAGTTGTACATAGTAATCACTGTCTTGAAGAACTCACAGACAACTTGTATCAAAACATTAAAAATCAAACCTCTCCCTTATATGAAAGCATCATCCTTCTAACTGTATAAATACGTGTACTGAAAGACATTATTCACTTTAAAAGAAGACTCTCATTTCATTTTACAGTAGATCAACAGAAAAGTTTCCAATCTCATGATATGATGGCATTTTAAGACTGCCATCTGAACATAGCAAATTCTTTGGAATTTGTGGTTATCACGTTTCATCATGAATGACAATGATCTCTTACATAATGTCAATCAGCATCCCTGTATTACAAACTCTAACATTCACGTCCTTCCCAAGTTCATAATCTTACACCACTGGTCTTACCATAGCAGTACTCCTCAGAAGCAGATCATGACTGAGTAAAACCAGGTATATTATTCCCTGAAACTAACAATCAAATCAAATCAAATCAGAAGATAACACTGAAACTCGTAACAAGCCACAGACTTCAAATTTATAATTTTCACAGTAACATTCCTGCTGATACCAACATAAGTAGTAAGTGTAGTAAGTGCATAAATGAAATTCGTGTGTTTTACATGTATAGTATGTACTCCCATGCAGAGAAATCTGTGCACATGATCACTACACATATTTAAGAAACCGTTCAATGGAAGCACCACTGTTGTTTAAAAAACTGACCCTTAACAAATATTTCTGCTTGGCAATTGTCACAATATTGTCACAATGCTTTGGCCAGGTGGGGGGGGTCTTTCTGTGTGTATAGAAATTACAAGCCCAAAGTTGTCTGTGAAAGAGAAACGTGGTTGGATTCCAAGACAAGTTGGCTTTTGGAGCAGGTAAGAGCAAAGCCATCAATTAAAATGTTGAAAATTGATGCCCGGGGTCAGTTGCGCAAAAGATATGTGAGGATTTGTATCATGCCTCAATTCAAAAGACAGGTTGACTTAACAAACAAGACATGAGATCTTATTAATTAAACTGCATGATAATTCTTGGCTGTTGTAATGTGTGATATGATGCTTTAATACCCACAGGCCTTATAGCATCCCGGGCGAAAGATAAAAAAATATAAGAATCTGCTGAAGAAAACCAGTGAAAGCACTTCACCAACAGTTGATCATATCATAGGAATCCCAATCTGCAGCACCAATACAGTTGATTATGATCAACTCTATGGGTGAAAGTAACTCTGGTACCAATGACAACCAGAAGTCTGGTTTGGACTTGTGAGGCATGGACTAGTATTTGATATTATGACGTGATCTACAGAGGGATGACGGTAATATGCGTTTTCATCGATGGCCACCTGATTGTTATGGGCCAATGAAACTTCAGCACGGCCCCCAAAAATGCAACTTAAAGGAACATTTACTTTCGCCCAAAATAATGGTAAGAAATTGTTCTTGTTGATGTCAAACTGAAGCTTAGAATGGAAATTTTTCTCGGAAACAAACTGACTGAACAATTAATGAAACAACCACTCTCTTCTGAAATGAGAATCAGTTTCACGAAGTGTAGAACTAGAAAGAAATGCCAAAGAAACAAAAGTGTTGTGTGATAATTTAGGAACTGAATTCATTAATGGTATACATGTACACCTTAAAGATTAACTGGATAAACTTCCATTGGACAGAACAAAAATGAGTTGTGTTACATGATTGGAAATTCCTCCAGAACCAAACATAAGCTTCAAATGAAACATTCAGTGTATGTATACACACTGCAAGCATAAGTTTGATACCAAATCAGTGATTTCTGACGGTTACTTTGGGAGAAAATGGATGTTACACCTGGAATGCATTCTTGGGGGGAGTGTGGAGGGATATGCTACACAATATTCAAGACTAAGGTATAACAATAAAGGATATCATATCGCTTCCAACCAGTCAGTGATGGTTTAGAACTCTTTGCCACTTGCATGCAGAAAATACCTCACCTCTTCTATACACTGCATTCAAACTGGACAACACATTGTATATACGCATATTGACTATTTGGATTTAGCTAGCACACAGATTGTAGCAAGGAGCACAGTAGTACAAGACAAGCAGTAGTTTGCACAGCAAGAATGTTATCCTGGCTAACTTTTGGAATTACAGATTAGGACAATACTAAGACACGTAGCTCTTCACTTGCCAATCGCTTCTTTAACTGGATAACACATAGGGACCTCCATCTCAAGAGTTCAAACGACTCAAATGTTCAAGTGTAAATGTCATCTGAATATTGGAATACATGCACACCATACTTCCACAGGGATCAACTTGAAAATGCTGCATATTCTAAAATGGGAATACTGGTGTATTTGGATGACAGGCTTTCTCAAAAACAGCTTGCTTGTTCCTTTTGGAGACATACAAATACAGACAATGATCTTTGTATGAACCATAAGAATGTGTATTTAATATGGAGGAATTAAAAAAAATCACTTTTTGCTGTAAGTAGTTGATAGCAACTGAAAATGGCAGAACAAAGTCCAGAAACAAAATAAAATAAAAAGCAGACGCAGCACGTTGTGTATGTAAACTGGGAAATGCATGAACAATTTGTTGATAATTTTATGTTCCATATCTCTTTGTACAATGGAATGCAAGGTTGGCCTCAAGGGATGAACTCTGTTTTAAATAACAGAAAACTTCATAACCTGCTTCCACTGAAGATCAGTTATCAACAGAACCACAGTTCACCCTTTGTTAATGAAAATCCTTCAGTGAAAGGGGTTTGAAAGGCCACAATGCTTGTACATTACAGACTTTCATGGGATGGTTGCAAAAGGTCAACCAGATGTGAAGTTGTAGGTGCTCAGCAGACAGTCCAGCTGTTTTCCCTGAAGTTATCACATTAACATATGCTTTGATGGGCAAGGAAGAAGCCTAACAGAGGATTACTGTGTATAATTACGCTGTGAGTGATCACCTCTGAGGACAAAAGTAGAATGGCAAAATTTGAAGGGTACTGAAGGGTCAATGCCAAGCAAAACATCATGGACAATGTGAATTATGCCATGCTTTTTAAAACAAATTTTAAGAAATATTTTGGCAAAAGGGACATTCCAAATAGAACAAGAGCTCTCCAGGTTTTGAGACATTACCAATATGATATGCCTTACAATCCCTACCCAGTTATAATATAGTGATACCTCCATCATGTCAAATAGTACTGGCTACAGTTGAAGACTCTACGGGTTGTAGGAGAAGAACTTGTTGACATTGGCTTTGAAGTCCACAGGCAAGGTAAACTGCACAGATTTGGCACCAAGCCTGGCAGCTCCTATGGCAGAAGACTGCAGAAGACTCACTAATGTCAAATGCTTGATCTCTATGTCTCTCTCATGACGGGGTTTCAAGCCTTCCAGGAACCCTAAATAAGAGCAAAAAATACAATTCAGCAAACACCGATCTTTCTTCAAGGTAATGGAAAGTGATTGAATTGTTGGGATAAACCGATCCATTAATAATTTTTGTTTTTGTGTTTTGATTAAAGTCTCCAATTTATAAATACTTTCACCCCTCAAAATCAGCCCCTTACATGAGTGACTGACTTTTTCAATGAGGTTGGAAGGTGAATGATACACGAGTTAAGGAATATCTTCACCCTTCTAAAGAGTATCATTAGTCTTTTTGAAGTCATTACAATCAGAAGCACAAATGTAAGGCACAAGAAACCATGTTCAATCTTTTTTTTTCAACTTACCTTCTTTGAGGAGTTCCCAGCTTTTCCAGACAGAGCCAACACAGACAACCATCAGGCCATTTGGCCCATTCAGTAGTGTCTTCAAATAAAAAATATACAAGTTCAACATCTTGAGTTAATTTGCTGGAACATTTGTCATTAAAAAACTTTTATGTGTAACTTGGGTTAATAATTCATTTTGAATTGATTTTTTTCCTCACTTGACTTGGCCACTCTGGTTATTTTGCTTGTTTTTCTGTTTTTGTTTTTCGGTTTTATCAGGATTTCACTTCTTGCTTTGATTCCTTCTCTGTGTATTTTCTGTGACAGAGAAACTGTGATGCCTTCAAAGCATACGCAGTGTGAATAAAGTGGCCAATGATACACATGAGCACACAGCACATATATCCCAATTCTGACCAGCTAACAATGGTGTCAGGTCAACTTGCCCCCTGACTGACTCGCCCCTTACCGACTCG